TTGCTCATTCCTTCTGCAAAGAGCCTTCTGCAAAGACTGAATCTTAGAGTTCTGTTATTCTTCAGTATCTAGTACAAAATCTAGTCATATTAGGTATGCAATTGGTGAGAATTATTGGATGACGGATTAGAAAGCTTCAGTTACACTGAAAAACAAAACCAAAATAGTTTTGTGGTTTCTTCAACTTGCAATGTTCAGTTTGCTTTTCCTACTCCTCAAATCTGGAGTTGCCCTGCAACTCCACCAAAAAGTCAGAAGTGACCTGGAGCCTAGACCTCTGATGTCTCCCAGCTTTTGCTGTCACTCTCATAAGACCTGCCCATAGCAAGCCAGGCATTGCTGCTGGGGAGCTGAGTGGAAAGAACAGAGGTGCCCTGGCTGAGTGAGGCTGTCTTGCATCCCTAGTCCAGATGCCTGCAATCCCTTGAGCAACTCTGAGTGAGACCAGCAGAACAGCAGCCCAGCTAAAATCAGAGTTGTGCACTAACACATGGTCATTGATTTGAGCCTCTAGGTCTTGGGGTAATTGGTTATGAAGCATTAACTAAGCTGACAGTGCTGTCTGTGTGATCTCAGGATGTCAGTTGGGGACAGCAACAAGTGCTCCTTATGTGGGGAAATTGGCTTTGTCCTCATGATTGACTTTTTTGGCTCAGCTTTCCTGTACCTTTGCTGGGCTGAGACCACTGTGCTGTTTCCTGAAGGCAGTGTCACACCCAAGTCCACATGGCTTGACCCCTGTGTTTGAATGAGAATGTCCAGTTCAAACATTTGAACACTTTGTCCCCAGTGATGGCACTGTTTGCAGAGATTTAGGACATGTGGCCTCATTGGAGGAAGTACATCACTGGGGGTGGGTTTGAGAGCTCATAGCTTTTCCCTACTTCCAGATTGCCCTCTCTGCTTCCTGTTGGAGATGTGACCTCTCAGCTTTCAGCTTCTACTGCCATGCCTGCCAGTTGTTGCTGTGACAGACTCTCATCTCACTGGAACTACAAGCCAAAATAAACCCTTTCTTCCATTAAAAAAAAAAAATTGTTTATGCTTTAAAAGGATTAAATTAGCATTAATAAGATGGAGTGGGTGATCTTTAGAAAACACTTCAAAGTGCTAAATTTGGGGCTGGAGAGATGGTTCTGCAGGTAAGAGCACTGGCTGCTCTTGCAGAGGACCTGGGTTCAAATCCCAGCACCCACATGGCGGCTAACAACCATCAGTAACTCCAGTTCCAGGGGATCTAATGCCCTCTTCTGTCCTCCATGGGCACTGCACAACATGGGTGCACTTAATACATGCAAGTAATATACTCATTCACATAAAATAAAAATAAATTAAAATTAAATTTTAAAAAATTAAAAAGGAAAGCAGAAGAAAGGACATGAGCACCATTGAAAACTGTATTAAACCAAAAGAAGGTATCAAAAGAGAAAAAGATACAGAGAAAAGTAATCAAAACACAGAGCAAGATACAGACAGAAATCCAAGTATTTCAAAAATCACAGTAGAAGTGATCAAATTCATTTATTAAAAGCATAGAGGTTCATTCATTTAAAATAGGTTAGAAATAACTAGATAAGAAAAAAGCCATAATTTAAAAACTAAAAGAAGGCTGGAGATGCTTACTGCTAAAGCTCTTATGTAGTCTGTGTGATGCCCTGAGTTCAGTCCTCAGCACCACAAAACAAACAAAAAAACTAAAAGAGAACTGATGTAGTAATATTAATGAGGTACATTTTAATCTAAGACAAAAACCTTAATAGGAAAAGATACTCTATAAAAACAAAGGGAACCAACTGCAAAGAAGTCGCCCTGTTTAAATGTTTAACTGCTAGCACAGTTATTTATTATGAGCTACAGGTGAGGAAATACAGACACTATTACTTATTTAAGCTACTTGAGGCCAGAATGCTTCGCATGATGCCTTATGTACCGTAGATGCCTTAATCCATAATATAATTAAAGAATACCAACATCAATTTGTTGGAGATTTTACTCTAAATTGGTTGACAGAATGAACAAATGATTTTGAGGTAGCTCATAAAGAATCTCTGAAATACAAATGTAAAATATGTTTTAAAAGGGCCAACAAGATGGCTCAGTGGGTAAAGGTGCTTGCCACCAAACCTAATGACCTTAGTTTGATCCCCAGGATCCACGTGGTGAAAGGAAAGGACCGACTCCTACAAGTTGTCCTTTGACCTACCTCCCATATGTGTGCTGTGGCATGCACACACTCACCATCACCCACACACACTATATGTAAGTGTAAAAAAATAAATAAATGTAAAAAGTTTAAGAATCTCTGAAATAAAATAGAATTAGGTCAGATTGTAACATCATAGAACAGAGGTATAATTGTATTGAAAAATCCTAGTTGAAAACACATAGGATTCTGGGTGAAGTTTATCTTGTTTATTTCTAACTTATAGGATTGAAGAAACAGTAGCCTTCCTGTACCTCTTTTTCTTTTTCTTTTTCAATACCAGAGATCGAACCTAGGACCTCAACACATGCTAGGCCAGTGTTCTACTACTGAGCTACAGCCTCATCCCTCTTTATTTTTTGAGACAAGTTCCTACTAAATTACCCACGCTGACCTTGAACTCACTCTGCAGCCCAGGCAAGCTTTGAACTTGTGGTCATACTGCCTCAGCCTCCCAAGTAGCTGAAGTTACAGGCCTTTGCCACCAGACCCAGCTTGGACCTCTTTTTTCCTCAGTAGTTTTCAACTGATTCCTGAATTCAGTTCTTCTACTTTATGGTTTTGTAAAATTTATGCCCTGAATGTTTTTGCCAAAATGGTTCTTGTCTTATGACGATCCTTTCTCGTCTAGGTGTCTCTTTTGGTACAGAGTATCTAATGGTTTTGTAGGTAACTCCCACTAGGGCTGACCTCTGTTTAAAGACATTCTTTGTGCTAATGTTTGAGATATATGCAGAAGGGAAATGATTGTTAGCCAAATACACTGTAATTATAAGAACTAGCAACCAATAATGTATTCCGCTTTTACCTTTGAAAATATTTGTACAAAACTAGGTTGTGCCCAGTGGGTTTAGACTAGAATCTGTAGACATTCATTTGCCTAATAAAATAACCACATTGACTGGCAGAATTCTGCATACCTGGCTGCCCTTCCTGCCCTGGAGCCTGGAACAGTATTGAGTCCAGCAGGTTTGATTTCTAGCAGGTTCAGAGAACTGTATTAAAGAAGCCCGCCTAGCACCCCACCTGTGGCCAGTATGCCTCCCTAAAGGCCAAGACCAATCTCTAGCTTTTTATAGACTCAAAGGGCTTCTGTTCCTTCACAGTGGATAAAAACAACTGAAATAATCAAGGAATTCGAACGCTTTGCTGGGAATGGGCAACGGTGATATTACAGATCAAAACGGCCACTTAAATTTCTTTTTATTTTTCAAACTTTACTATTATTGTCTGTATGTGTATAATGTATATATGTGGGCACATGTGTAGAGGTCAGAGGACAACTTTGTGGAGTCAGTTGTCTCTTTCCACTTTTATGTGGGTTCGTTCTGGGGGTGGAATTCAGGTCCTCAGACTTGTAAGGCAAATGCCTCTACCTGCTGAGCCATCTTGCCAGCCCTGAAATTCCTTTTCAGTAAAATGTGATGTTTCTTTTATTTTTAACTTATGTATGTGTACACGTGTGCAGCTGGGCACCAGTGTGTGATCGTGGAGGCCAGAGGTCAGAGGTCAACATCAGGCATCTTCTGTTGCTTTTCCCCTTCTTTTTGAGACAACCACTCACTGACCTGGCGTTTGGATAGACTAACCAGCCATCCAGAATCCTCTTGTCTCTGCCTCCCAGCCCTGGGACTCCAGGCACATACCACCATACCCAGCTTTTTACATGGCACTAGGGATCCAAACTCAGGTCTTCATGCTTGCACAGCAAGCATTTTACCCACTGATCCATCTCCACAGCCCAAGATGCTATGTAATGTTTTAAAATATATTTTTCTGGAAATTTTTAAAAAATATTTTATTATTTTTATGTGTATGAGTGTATTGCCTGCATGTATGTGAGTGCACCCATGTCGTGCAATGCCACAGAGGCCAGAAGAGGGCGTCGCATTCCCCTGGAACTGGAGTTAAGGACTCTTTGTAGCCACCATGTGGGTGCTAGGAATCAAACCCGGGTCTTCTGCAAGAACAGTCAGTGCTCTTAACCGCTGAGCCATCTCTCCAGTCCCTAAAATATATTTTATTTAACACCAAGGGTACAGGTGCTGTATAGCACTTAGCAGATTGCACATATAGGAAGCATACACTTCCCCATTATCATGGGTCAGGTGGCCCCTCTTTCTCGAGAGATAAGATAGGAATAATAGACTGCAGCCTACACCCTACCTAGAGAATGAAAAGGAACATATTCTCATCAGTATTTCTACAAGGTACTTTTTTTAAATAAATATTTTTATTGAGTTTTTGTGTATTTCACACAATAGATCTCAATTAAATTTAGACTCCCCCTCCCCTTCCATGCTCCCTATAGCTGCCCCCTGCACCAGACTTCATGCTAAGTCCTCTCTGGTCAAGAGCCCTCAGCATTCACTGGAATCTAGTCAATCTATCCAGAGTCTTTCCCCTAAAGAAGATATAACCCCCTCGTAATGTGCTTTTTCATCCTAGAAGCAAGCAGTCATGATTCAAGTTTATGAGCTCAGACTTCCTCAGTCCCACAGTCAGCTGCTCCCATAGGACAAGAGGAGGAGTAGAGTTACGGCAGAGCCCAAGAGCCTGATGTCCACATCGGAGCAGGCACAACCACAGTAAGCAAACGGAAGCACAGCTGACATGGTGAAAGGTCAATGGTGTCCCAGTAAATGGCCCAGAATCTGGGAGATGACCATACTAAAGGCTTGTGCTCTGTACCAAGCCTGATGAGTGGCATGCCATTCAGGAGTAAGACTATTCCCAGCCTGAAGGAGGGGTAGAGCTAACGAAAGCAGAGAATCCTTTTCTAGAATCTACAGGAACCATGGATACTGAGAAAGCTTCTAAGACAAAAGCACAGATGGAAGCTGTAAGCATGATCTCACTGGCCAGAAGTAGGGTGTCAGGCAGGCCTGCACCTCAGAAACAGAAGTGAGGCGCAGGAGTAGGTCATGTGAGATGCCCCAATGGTCTTGAGCTCAGTTTGTTGGCTAGAGCTTTGATTTTCAGATTTTGAACCTGTATACTAGATGAGGTATTATGAAACAAATCCCAGTGGATACGCCTGACCCAAAGACAGCTCTTGTTCAGGAGGGGAGGGAGTCTTGGTGTCTTGCTCATCTGGCACACCCGGAGCTACACTGGGCCCTTTGAGTACCTTGACTTGTTGTTTTAGAGGAGTTCCTTAAGCCCTTGCTTTTTAGGCCCAACCTTAGCCGTATGATTGGAGAGACTGTAGAGGAAAGAAAATTCAGAAGCTTCAGAGGAATTCAGGATCTGGCAGCAGATTCAGGGTGACTTCTGGGAGCCCTGAGAGAAAGCAACAAGCAGTAATCAAAATAGTACAATTTGTGGCATCCTTGACAGCCAGATCCCCATTTTCAATTAATCCTTCCCATTTCCCACTCAGTTCCCAATGGTTTCTGAGCTTTATTCATTTAATAAGACGAAACCAGTCTCCAGACTTCTTCTCATTCAGTCATCAAACTTCCATTGAATGAAGTGGTAGATGTTCAATAAAAGTTAGCCTTTCCTCTCCTCTTCTTCCCCCTCTTCCTCTGTTTTCCTCTCCCTCCCCCTTTCTCTCTCCCAACCACATAGCTGCCATTTTGTTGAGTTCACACAAGCATTTCTGAGAAGCATATCGAGCCAGATCACTTATTATGTGTGCATTAATTTATGAGACCATTTCTACTTAACACCTAGCTAAGAGCTCATTTTAGTGAGTAGGGGTCAGGGAAGGAAACCCATAAGAGTGTAAGATCTCTGAAGGCCAGTGGGAGGGGAAATGCCTTCAAGGGCACAGGAAAAGGTAGGGATGACAAGTTCCACTCTAACAGGGAAGGTGGCATGTTAGAGGAGAGAGTAAAAATCTTCATGACATTGTGCCTGGCTCTGTTCCTACCGAACCTGATTGTTACGAGAGAATCACTTCAAGCAGATGCCTACAGTGGCTCACAAGATCCTTGAGGCCAACCGAGAGCAGGTGGTCAGGGCCTCCACCTGGAATCCAGTCATGGTGAGCATGCGTTGCTGCTCTTTTCCTGTACCATAAACATGAGATGGGCCCTCTGTCCTGCACCTTCCACAGCTGTGGGGCTCACAGCGTCTCTGGCTCAGCGTGCCATGTTTGTTTCTTTTCTTCCATCTGTAGTAGCCCTTTTGACTATTATCCTAGCTTTTTCTGATGACTGTTGTGACCTTCAAACCCCAAGACGGCAGAAGATAGAATCATTCTGGCCAACAGGAATTCTATCCCAAAGTGATGAATAACTCCATGCCTTCAAACAGGTGTTTCTTAGACATTTCAAAAGTGGTCAAGAAGACATTCCAGCTTTCATTCATATTTGAGACAAGGTTTTTCTTGGTGTGTGTGGGGGAGAATCTATCCCCTATCTCCTATCCCCAGCCTAGCCCAGAGCTGCTACTCACTGTTTGCTGTGTTTTTTAATTTGTAGGGTACAGTGGGAGCCCAAAGTCATTCACTGAGTCTGTGTACTGTATTCCCATGTAGCCTCACTCTTGAACTGTCTCGGCGTGCTTTCTTACTTCTCTGCAGCTGCGTTCCTGCTGGTGAGGCCTCCGTGCTGTGCAGCTGATGAGCTGATTGATTTGGTGAGGGGAAATTTTCCTGTTGATTTGCTGTAGGCTTGAGGAAGAAAAAGAGAAATTTCCCACAAAGACAAGAATGTGTGTTCAAAAACTAAAGCAAGTTTAATATTTATAGACATTTTTAACATTTAAAAATGCTGTATTTATGATTTGGATTAAAGTATATGATACTATCTTAAAGTCATAAGAACTTAAAACCAATTTGAGGTCTTAGGAATTGAGGATTTTGTTGTTGTTGTTGTTATTTGGCTTTTTGAGACAGTTTCTCACTATGTAGCCCAGGATGGCCTCTAATGCACAATGCTCCTGACTTGTTTCCTGAGGGCTGGGATTCTAGTCACCATGCTCCAATGAGTTTCCTTTTGCATTGCTTTTATTTCAGTTTTTCACCTAAACATTAGTAATGGCAGGGATGTAGAAACTAGCCCTTGTTGAATCATTTTTAAGTTAAGAAGGCAAGTGAGAGACTAGAGAGATGGCTTGGCGATTAAGAGCACAGATTGCTCTTACAGAGGACCCAGTTTCAATTCCCAGTGCCCACATGGCAGCTAACAACCATCCCTAACTCCAATTCCAGGGGATCCAACACCTTCTTCTGACCTCTGCCAGCATTGCATGACACAGGTGCACTTACACACATGTAGGCAATACACTCATACACATAAAATAAAAATAATAAATAAAATATTTTTTTTAAAAAAGAAGGCAAGTGAACCCCAGTACTTAATTCTTTTTCAAGATCCCATTAAGATAATAAAGGAACCTTAAATGATCAGGGATAATGATGAAGAGAAAAAAGGATAAAACCCTTGAACAAGTACCATGGAAGAGACTGGAATGCTGGTAACTGATCACTACAGTGAGATCTTACATGGCCCTCAGAAGTTCCTGTGTTGACATGGCTTGGCCACCAGCTGGAGGTGCTTCCAAGAAATGTTAGAAGATGAAGCCTTGTTGGAGGAAGTAGGTCATTAAGGGTGTGTCTTTGAAGAGTGTTTGGGGACCTTGGCCCATTCCTCCCTCTCTTTGCTTCCTGGCTACAAAACAGAGTAAAATCAAGCAAAAGTTAGCCATAAAATCCAGATTCAAAGCTCTTACCTCTGGGGAGTACTGCTAAGAAGCAGGGAATGATAGAACAAGAAGTGTATGTTTTTAATTATAACCTCTTTTATAATGTTGTTGGGGGTTTTGATTTTTAATATACCCATATATTACTTTGCCAAAATTTAAATTTTTTATCAAGCAGCATGTGTACATTAAATAAGATTTTGAGACTATAGAAAGAGTCGGGACACATAATCCCACCATCTTAAACACAACCATTGAAAAAAAAGAAAGTTCTATTTTTTTCTAGTCTTCTTTTCTTAAACATAATTTTTAAATAGCATCATATTATGTATATGATTTTAATCCTGGGTTTCTCACTATCTTTATAAACATTTTAAATGACAGCAATTATTTGTAATCAGATATATGACAACTACCTAATCTCTTTAACTGAATTATTTATAATCGTTTGATCTTTAAAATAATACTATGATAAATATTTTGCTATAAAAACAGAAGTAACCCTTATCTGTGAACCAACTCAATTCTGTCTGCATATTGTTAATTCAACTTGGCTGAGTGCCCCACCTTTTCTAGGCTCTCTATGAAATCATTAGTCAGTGAGGATTCCATATTCCTGAAAAATACTAAAACCCCTTGACCCCAAAGACTATGTTTTTTTTTTTAGCAACACTGTATTTAAAAAGAGCAGTATAAGCATGTTTCTGAATAACAGCAGTTATATTTACATTGCCCAAAATCCTGCCCACAGTCATCTTAGATGCTCAATAAATTTTCTTATAGCTAATTGAAAAGGGCCTATTGAAATCCAGTGAGAACTAAAATGGATACCAGATTTGTCCTCTCTCTGTGTAACATTTCAGGATAAAACTGTGGCTACTTCTTTTTCTTTCATTTACTGCAGTAGAAACTTTAAATTCAGAATCTTGTAGTGTAAACAAAAGACTTTGAAAATGTTTGCTGTCTCGTTTCTGTGTTTCCATTTCCAGATTTATCCTACTTAGCATTAACTGTTAATTTGACACAGCCTAGAATCCCTTTGTAGAGTCTTAATTGAGTCATTATGTTTATCAGACTTATCTGTTGACATGTCTATGAGGGATTGTCTTGATTGTCCTAGTTGGCGTAGAAGGGCCCAGACCACTGTGGGCAGCACCATTTCCTAGGCAATGGTCCTGAGCTGTTTATGGAGGCCAGCTGAGCATGAGTGAAACAGAGTGAACCAACAAGCAGTTCCTCCATGGTGCCCACCTCTGAGTTCCTGCCATGAGTTCCTGGCCTGACTTCCCTTAATGATAGATTGTAACCCGGAAATGTAATCCAAATAAACCCCTTCCTTTCCAAGTTGCAGAGTATTTTATCACAGCAACAGAAATCAAACTACAACAGAACTTAAGAGCTCATTGGACTAGGTATCCCAGTGAATGCAAATATTGGCCATAGTAAAGGTAGAGCAATGTCTCACTTACCCCCCCAAAATCTTTATCTTCATCCTACCATAGACCCCAGACATATGGCCATGAACTCAGAGGTGGTATAACAAGCTTCAAAGATAGATACGATAGAGGTTAACCATCCTGTATCACCAGTGGAACTTGCAATAGAAGAACTAAGTGCTACTTTCCCTAATGGCAATTGGTTATGGAGGGCTTTGTGGAACTGAACTGTGAAGGGCACTTCCCATCCCTTCTACATAGAATCTGTCACTAGTGATTCAGGCCAGACACGAGCATGGGGTGGGGAACAAAGGTATCTGGCCACTTGCCGCTTGAAGTCCATTAAGCCTTATTGAAAAGTCTTGTTTGACTCTTCCCGTTCTGGCTCATTTTTTTTTTTTTACAATGCTTAAAAAATGACTTATGAGGCAGAGTGTTATACAATAAAAGTTAGCTTAGACCACATCCATTCCACTTATCTAAATTGACTAACCCATCCAATTTGTACTCTGACTACTATGACCGCCCTGTAGGTCAAGGATTCTTCACCATCTCCATGGTGAATGGCACTCAGTAATTTCTTCCCCCATTCCTAGCATGGCTGTCACAGCCAGCACAAGACAGTGTCCTTCCCTGTGTCCTTTTCCGTTTAACTTTTCTCTCATATTTGTATTTTAGAGTGGCAAGATTCGCTCCCAAATCAATTTTAAATCCACATTGGAAAACTTTTTTTTCTATAGTGTTATATGGCTTCATGTAGAAAGTAAGTTGAGCTTATAAGTCAAAAGGTCCAGAGGGGTGATTTGGGCTGTTTTTGCTTAATGTTGTTTGCTCCCAACAAATTGTGGCTTTTGACATAACAAACAGCATATTTTACATTTCCATATTTTTATTCCTATTTTCTCTATGAGTTGGCAGGTCATTATTTTTAAACTATAAATAACTTATATATAAGTCAACGGAATTAAAATGCTGAAAGGAAAAGAAGATCGCCTGATCTTATGTCCTGAGTAGCAGGTAAAATGGCTGCAAAACTTCTAACCTTATACATGGCCTCTGTTGGGGGGATATTATGCCCATTTTACAGAGGAGAAAATTGAGCCTGTGAAAAGTAGACATTTGCCAAAGACTCCACAATTAGTACATGGTACCTTTGGGAGCTGCAATGAGATCTAACCTCAGCACTTTTCTAAGCTGTTCTCCTATGGGAAAGCATAAATAAGTGAGGGGCCATTTTCAACTTGTAAGTTTTGAAACCAAAGAAATTGCCACCTTTTCTAGAACCTCAGCATACAAACCTGTCCTAAAAAGTAGGTTAATTAAGGAAAGAGACATGTCTGTCTACCATTTCATAAAATGAGGTTATGGAGCTCAGGCCCAAGGCCTGCAGATGAGGAGACTGAGGCCCAGAGGTGTCCTCATTGAACTAAGGACACTCAGCTTATCAGGACACTGCAGGCCTGAGACAGAACCCAGATTTCCTTTTAAAACTTGAAGCTTACGCTAAATTCCAAGTGGGCTAAAATTTTATTACAGTTTTGTCTACTGAAAGGATTGTCATAATTACATGCAGTGCTCACTAGAGGTGTTATCTCTCTCCCCCAATGATGTGAAAATGAGTGGAATCAGATCCTGTAGCTAAGACCTAATTGTTTTTTAATATTTTATTATTTTTATTTTATGTGTATGAGTGTATTGCCTGCATGTATATAAGTGTACCCATGTCATGCAATGCCCATGGATGTCAGAAGAGAGCATCAGATTCCCCTGGAACTGGAGTTACGGGTGGTTGTTAGCCACCATATGGGTGCTGGGAATCGAACCCGGGTCTTCTGGCAAGAGCAGCCAATGCTCTTAACTGCTGAACCATCTCTCCGCCCCTGCTAAGACCTAATTGTAAAAGAAGGCTAGACTTTGGCAGTGGAGGACATTGCAGAAGAGCACACAGTACATGCCAAGGTTGAGGGGCCAGAGAAACAGGATGGCCTGGTGAAAGTCATTACTGTGATGGAAATTTTAAAGAAAAATTTAAAATAAGTGTGAAGAATTTTTAAGTAAACTTGCCCTAGAAGCACTGCATGCAAAGAAAAGAAAGAAAAAAAAAAAGCTATTTCCCCAGTCAGAATGGCTATCATAATGAAGAAAAACGTTCTGGTGAGAATGTGGAGAAAGAAGAATGCTTATACACTGCTGGTGGGAATGTAAACTGGTATAGCCTCTGTGAAAGTCAGTGTGGAGGCGCCTCAGAAAACTAAAATCAGAACCACCATGTGATACGTCTTTACTACTCCTATATATTCAAAGGAAACTAAGCCAACATATCGTGGTTACTTGCATATCCAAGTTCATTACTACATGTTTTATACTAACCAAGATATGGAACCAGCTTAGAGGTCCAGCAACATATGAATGGATTAAGAAAATATGATCTTGGGGCTGAAAAGATGTCTCAGCAATTAAGAGCACTGACTCCTCCCAGCACCTACATGTCAACTAACAACTATCCATAACTCCAGTTCCATGGGACCCAACACCCTCTTCTCACTCTGTGGGCATTGCACGACATGGGTGCACTTACATACATTGCAGGCAATACACTCATACACCTAAAAATAAAAATAAGAGAATATTTTTTAAAAAGAAAAGGTGATTCCCCCCCCCCACACACACACATATATGCACACACACACAATACAATTTTATTCTACTATTAAGAAGAATGAAATAATGTCAGAAAAGGAATAGAACTGGAAATCAGGTCAAATAAACCAGATTCAGAAAGACAAAGATCACATGTCGCTTTCTCTCCTATGTGGACTCAAGATTTAAACATATGTGTGGATATATATATATATACATATATGCATATATGTATGCATGTGTGTATGTAGATCAGACATAAAAGTAGAAGGGGGGCTATGTGTGGGGAGAAGAGTTCTAAAGAGGAGGGGGAACCAGACAAGAAAAAAAAAGTACTTCATGTTTTCCTTCATACACAGAATCTAGATTTATATACATACATATGTGTGTGTGTGTGAGAGAGAGAGAGAGAGAGAGAAGGAGAGAAAGGAAGAGAGCACACAAGAGGACCCTGGGAAGGAAGGGGTTCAGAAAGGGGCAGAGAGCACGGGAGGGAAGTGGGCAGCAAATAAGAGCAAGACGCATCAATATGTGTGTACAAACCTCACAGTGAAACCCATTGTTTTATCTACCAAATTAATATTAATAAAATTAAATCATTTTACTTAAATCATCAAAAAATAAAAGGGAAAAGGAAAGATGAAATTGAATAATGATTTTAAAATATATATGAGCTTAGAGAAGTGCAGCATAAAAAGATGATCATAGTAAAGTCTTCTACCAAATATAGAAATCAGTAGCTATGGGGACCCCATCCACCTCCCCTTGACCATCTGCTGGAGACATCTTTTATTTACTTCTCCCTGTAGCATTTCCTTAGCAGGGAAGTGATAAATGTCATTTATCAGACTAATGGGCTCAAATGGAATACCCTGAAATCTGCCAGAATGTGCCTTGATATAAGAAAAGGTTGGTAAACTGCACTTTCTAAACAAGGAATTTATGTCTTCCCACAAGTTGACATTACAGGGTTATTTGTGGACTCCTGTAGGGAAATGGCCTTTTGAAACCCCACTGCCTGCTAGGCCCCACTCCCATCCCCTTTCATCAATCAGCCAGCTTCCTGTGCCTGCCACCCTCCAGCTCCTACTACAGGGGCGGAACAAGGCCAGAAATGGCCTCTACTTGCTCACTTGCTCCTGGGTCTGTGTGTCTCAGCTCTTTCTCTGACCTTCTTTTCCTCATTCGTTTAGTATATTCAAAGGCGTTTGCCACCAATTCTGTTTATTACAGAAGACATTCATATTGTAGTCATAACATTTCATTATAAACCAAAAAGGGAAAGAAAGTGTAAAAAAAATTTTTTTTTAATATTCTTCTCATTTCCAATTTCAACTGAGAAAAAAAAAAATAGCTCACCACTTACCCCATCCATGGCACACACAGTGATGTCTCCCCATCGACTCCATCAACTCCCTGGAGGGAGTTCCAGCCACTCTTGATCTGTCTTGTCAATATTTTCTCTGGAAAAACTTCCCAAGGCTGTTTGGTGTATTTGTAAATTGAGCTATCCTTTCTGCTTGGCAATACCTAAAAACTGGGCATGCTGTGTCTGGGATATCGAATGCCATCTGCCTCTGGAAAATTGTCAGGCCATCTACTCAATTTCCACCCCCATCCCTGACCATTCCAAACTTACAAAGCTGGCAAATCTGAGACTCATACTGGATTCATGAGAATCATCATGAATCCTGTCATTATCTAATGTATAACCTTGGAAATTATTTCACAGCTCCTCTGAATTTAGAAACCCTTTATGAGGGACTGGAGAGATGATTCAGTGGTTAAGAACAATGGTTGCTCTTGCAGAGGACTCAGGTTTGGTTCCCAGCACTTATATGGCAGCTCATAACTGTCTGTAACTCCAATTCCAGGGCATCCCATACCCTCTTCTGGCTTCTGCAGGCATTGCACGCACATGATGCACTTAGACACATGTGGGCAGAACACTTATACACATAAAAATAAATCGATCAAAAATATTTAGAAACCCTTTATGAGAGAGACTTCATAATTGTTAGTTGGATATGTATACATAAGGAAACTTTATACAAGATTGGCCATAATGATAGGTGATTCACTCATAATTAAGAATTACATATTACTGAATTCATTCCACATGCATTAATTAAGTGCCTGCTGTGTACCTGTGAATTGACTAGTAGCCACAGAGGCCACTATGGAACACATGAATAGGACTGTCCTTGTCATGTGTATGACCCAGCTAAGGCATTCCAGCCACCAGAAGATGATGCATATGGTACTCAACCAAGCAGGCACTCTCTGAACTGCCCCAGCCATGAAGGTACCTTGCCAGTACAACCAGATATTGGGAGGCAAAAAGAAAGTTTCCTTGGGAAGTCTATGAATTCTCTGTCTACTTAAGGCTTGCCAGTGCAACCTGTGTTAATGTTCCTTAAATCGTCTGGCATTCAACAAAGCCCTGCAGACACCACAAGTCTTCTCAGTGCTGTGTTTTCTCTCCTAGGACATCAATGAGTGCATTCTGGAAAACTACCCTGAGTGTTCCAACCCCAGGTTATTTTACATCATTCCGTATTTCTGTGGACAGCACCCCAGATGCAGGTAAATGCTGCTTCCGGCTCACCGCATGCTAATGTACCCAGGGCAGGAACCCGCCACACTGGCGCTCTAAGAATCTTGTAAGAGAAGTCTCTCAACCTTTTGGAATTCAGTTCATGTTCACTATTGCTCTTCAAGGACATCATTTGCCATTCTGAGTGCCTTATAAGAAATTAAAATGAGACTCCTTGACACAGGCCTCAAGGGCTCACACATGCAGCTGTGAAACAGGAAAACTCATCAAACCCTTTTTTATACCCAAACACAGCTACCACCACCAGGCTATGAGACTGTGTAGGCCAAGGTCAGGTGCCTAGCCTGCTCCTCCACAGTGACTGTAACCCACAGCCATCTCTGCCTTTGGCCTGCTTCACTGGGTCTAACACTCTGGAAACACATACCCAGGTTTAATGGTGCTTTGATAATACAGTCTGTAGAAAGAGAGGAGAGTGCTTTCCAGTGATCACACCAGCCTAGTTTGAACACAGGCTCTTGTTTAGATAGTGACTTAGTGATGTAAGCAGCATGCCCAGGGTTTGGAAAAACCTCCCACAGGGCAGGCACAGGCATTCCTAGTTGATTTTTCAGGTGGTACTAGAGTAGCTATGGTTGAAATCAAATCCATTGTACTGGATACATATCTATAGCCTCTAGAAGTTGTAGCAATGAGGATCACTATCTTTGCTTGGTGAAACCAAAGCTTGTTTGCAGGTGGGACACTGAGTGGAGTAACAGGGTCCTTGTGTTCCTGGAGGACATAGGGGCGCTGCTGGGTCTAAACTGTAGCACATTCTCAGCACTTTTTGCCTTATGCTTGCACTTCTGTTTAGTTTTGAGGCCTCTCATTGGTGCTGTTTTGCTTAGTTTACTGTAATATAAGAGTTTATTCAAAATGCAAATTCCAGGTATGATGAACATCTTGTGTTCAGGCAGCTTTCCCCCAGCATTTACCCTGACGATCAGTACCTCCTGATTCATGCTCAGTGCTTAACTACAGAGAGGACACAGGGCCAGATGACTTACTTTATGATCACAACAGAGGTATTTATTTTAAGAAACATGATTCAGCTTCCAAAGCATGTTTCCTAATCCTGGGCAGTATCATGTGATAATCCTCAGAAAACTTTCCAGTATCACCTTGTTCTTTGCAGTAGATAAAGGTTATTTTTATCATTTTTTCAAATAGAACCTTAGCTTGCCCAAATTCCCCCAAATGGTAAATGATAACTAGGCCTGGAGCCCAGATCCTGGGTTTTTCTTACATAAATGTTAGCTCGGATATCTGGCCTACAAATGAAATTAGGCTTCTTCCCTTTGTAATTGGCAAAAAAAAAAAAAAAAAAAAAAAAAACCTCCCAATGTTTTAAAAAGGTTTGGAACTAACCTCTCAATGCTTTAAAAAGGTAAGATGACTAGCAGGCATATTGGACACAAGTTTTGATCTCTATGAAAATACTGTCAGTGAATCTAATGTCACTGACTTGATTCAGTTTGGATCTATAAAGAAAATCCATTCCAACCATGTGATTGAAGTCTTTAAGGACCTAAGTGCCTATGCCTGTCTTTATCTGTCTTTCAACAAATACTTAGGCTTATTCATTTCAAGACCCTTGTGCACATGTGAAAATAACTCAGCCAGAGAAACCAGGGAAGGTTCTAGAACAAGCTAAATTTGGGGTAGTCCTGGAAGGAATTTGAATTAGGACTTCACATCTGGCGATGGGCAAACAGAAGAGATAAACATTCCCTAGGTTGTTGTGGTCTTTCCAGAAGTCTTTGCTATAAAGTGACTTTTTTGTCTGTCAAGGGAGCCTGGAGAGTGGGCACTTGAGCGTGCCAAGCTGAACGTGAATGAGAACTTCCTACTCGTGGGGATCCTTGAGGAGTTGGAAGATGTGCTGCTTTTACTGGAAAGATTTTTACCTCATTACTTCAAGGGTGTGCTCAACATCTACAAGGACCCAGGTAACTCCATCTATATGTAAGCCCTTCCCCAGGAGAAGTCTGCTTCTGTTCCAAGGCTTTCTCACCTTGACAAGGAGGGAATGAGGGAATGACATGCTGTCCTGTGCTCCCCTGGCTTGCAAACACAGGTGAGATGCATGAGCTGTTCATTCCAAACTCCTGAGGTTTAGGGTGACACATGGACTCGGACTCGCCATTTTAGCCTCCTGATGGCTCAGCTCCTCTGCTTGGAAACTGAAATTTGCTATATTTCCCATCAGCTTTGTCCTGAGGATTTCGCTGGGGAGAACAAAAGGGTCCACCCTAGCATACCTGGAGTTCATGCGTGGAAGCGTGCATGAGTGCGAAAGAGCTACTTGTGATGAAGCAGCTTTGACCCAACTGCCATTTGTCAAGAGCACTCTAGCGTGCAAAATCCGTGCAATAGATTAGCTAGGGCAGCAAATTGAAAATGCAATGAAGATTGTGTTCTCACAAACCAAGTGCTCCCCAAATAGAAGCGAGAAAGAGAAAGCAATTACAGGGGTGGCCCACTATATCATTGTGACTATAATTACTTTCAGAAATTCGTCGTTTATTTTTTTCTCATTATTACTTAGCTTGAGACAGAGAGATGTGCTGTTTTGCTTTCTTTCTTTCCTACACTCCTTAATCTACTGCCTCACAGCAAGCTGTGCATACTTATTCAGCAATCTGTTTGTGGCTTTGTTCTGTTGTCCTGAAATGGGAGATGGCACCTGGCCTGGTAGAAACAAGAAGCAGAGGAAACACTCCCAAAGGCAGCAGACTGTCAAGTCTGTGAGCCGTATTTGCATCATGGGAAGGTACCAAGGCCCAGGCAAATGTCTTTGCCTGGAAGAGCACTTGCTGTCACACTGAGGCCCTGCCATTTGCTGGAGGTGGACAGGTGGCTGGCAGGTGCTGCCTAAATCTCCCAACTCTTATTCAGAGATAAAATCTGATTTACCTGCATGTAGGAACATGACAGAAAAATGTCAAGGTGAGGCGTCTCCTCACCAGAAACGTGGTTTGAATAGCCTTGAATAAGCCGTAGGCTACTAGGTTTTGAAGCTAGAATTTCCTCTGCCCTTTCAACAGCAAGCAATTTAAGGAGTTTCCGTAATTTAAATTTAGAGGATGTCAGGAGCTCTGTTGTACTGGATTATTGTTCTACAAGACATTGTGAGCCCTGCGCTTTGTGCAGGAGAGGTCTTATCCTGAATTAGTTTTTAAAGGAAAAGGTTCATTCATTGTTCTTTCTCCCTTTAAGCTTTATCTTGGGGCCTAAGGTGTGTGGGGTGGGAACGGAGGGTGTTGTAGATTGTGTGTGTGGTACACAGTAAGAGACAAAGGACTGAATGAATCTTGGTGACAGCTACTTATCCAAACATTGGTTAAGTGTCAGGGATATAGACTTGCTAACTTAGATGAAGACTTCTTAACCACTGAAAAAAAAAAAAAAAAGCTATCCCAAAGAGTCACTTACCTAGTTGTTGCTGGGGCTGTTTCTTATTGACTTCCTGTTTTCTCCATTTAAATATGTGACATCTCAAAAATTGTGGGCCTTCATCCCATGATCTGTAAGCACATTAATTAAAGTAGAAAAGATTTCAGAAAATTAGATTGCTATTAGCTCTATCTTGACCTACAGCCACAGTCTCTCCATCAGTAAATTTTGAATTTGGCTACTACAGTGTGTTAAAGACCTCAGAAAGTATAAGAGACATTTGGTATTCCTATGCACTGATGTGAAAGGCTTCCAGAGGCCCAGTGCAGCTATCCCAGTAGTGATATGGTGCAGTGCATCTCTACTGCCTTCAAGGTACACTTCGACTACCCCAGCCTCCCCTTTGTCCAATAACAGCGATAAAAGGAACAATAGCACAGTGGGGTCCCCAGGACCTCCGTTCTGAACTCAGTTCCTGAGTACAAATCATGATTAAACAGTTTGAATGTAACCGCAGTTTATCATCCTAGTTTAACTTTCTTTGCTACCATGAAGCAAGTGTTTGACAAAATGAACCTTGGACCGTGCTCTCAGTAACTTCTGCTGTGTACTATGGCTGCGTGGAATTGTCTTGTGTTGTTCTCCAGTGATAGCATTGAAGGCTAGGCAAGTACATAGTTCCTCTGTCCTAACAGCCCCTGTGCCTGTCAAGGTGGAGGATGAGAAGTGAGCATTTCACTCCTGACCAGCTTCTCGTTCTCTTTCAACTCCTGCAAACACCCAGTCGTTCTGTCATTGTTTATCAGTGGGTTGGACTCATACAGGTTAGAAAAGGCATAGCTACAGGTGTCTTTAATTTTTTCACACTAGAATTATTTCATCTGTGCATTTTTAGACAAAACTCACAGAGACAGCACACTAAAACCATGGCTCTTCCTTTATTTGAGGATTTTAGGACTAACTGTGCGGCTAAATAGTAGCATAGCAAGCCAACAGCCCTGGAGTTGATCCCCAACACTGGAAAACTAAGTTCAAATTTTAATTTGGGATCTGGGGAGATGACTCTGTTAGTGAAGTACTTGCCACAAGCATGAAAACTTGAGTTTGGATCTCCAGAACTCATTAAAAGTCCAGGCACAGTATACATCTGTAAGTCCAGTGCCAGGAAGGCAGAAACAGCCAGATACTAGATCTCATTGGCTGGCCAGCCCAGCTGAATCGTTGAGCTCCAGGTTCAGTGAGAGGTTCAGTGAGAGGCCCTAGCTCTAAATCTAAAGCAAACAAAAAATTGGGTGGTGAGCAACTAAGGAGACACCCAGCGTCAACCTCTGGCCTTCGCATATACATGCACCATCGTGCACATAGTCATGCACCCACATGATCACATACAGACAACACACACACACACACACACACACACACACACACACACATTTTGAAACCAAGTAGATTTAAAGAAACACTAAAATATAAGATACTGAGGGCTCCAGTGACATGTTACCATTGTAGATTAACTGACCATCTGAAAAACTGAATTACTGTGGTGCTGCCCAAATTCAGGGTGGTATTTTCCTTCTCCATTGAACTTTCCTGGAAATACCTTCATAGCATCCAAAAGTTACTCCATGGTGACTCTAAATCCAATGACACTGATGATGAAGATCAACCATCACTCAGTCTCCACTGTATTTGCTCTTTACCCCTTTTAAAAATGGGAAAACAGACTGGAGAGATGGTTCAGTGATTAAGAGCACTTACTGCTCTTGCAGAACACCCAGCTTCAATTCCCAGCACCCACATGGAGGCTAATAACCATCTGTAACTCCAGTTCCAGGGGATCCAATACCTTCTTCTGACTTCCATGGGCATTGCACGACACAGGTGCACTTACATACATGCAGGCAATACACTCATACACACAAAATTAAAATAACAATTAAAAATAATAAATTAAAATGGGAAAACTGAAGCTAGCCTAGAGAAGTTGAGAGACTCAGATATTTCTGAGTTTTAATGTATTTGTGACTATTTTCTTTTAAAACACTAAAAACAGTAAAACATTAAGATGTTGTGCCATGAGTGTAGTTCATTGATAGAGCCTCTGTCTCCTGGGCCCTGGGTTTGATCTCCAACACCATAAATAACAAAAACAAAAACCCTGACTTACTGTCAGCTATCAAAATTTTTCTTGGTAATAATTTTATAAGCTAAAATTGTAACAAATTAAATGAGTACATTTATTAAGGACAAAGAACATGTGAATATTTACAGTAGGAACAGGCCTATGAACATTCTCCATAAATCCTGGCCTAGCCAATAACAAAGTTGGTCTTGTTCAATAGCGCTACCTAACATATGGACATGGAGCTATAGGACCTAACAGCAACCATAACTTTCCTCTTTCTTGAGGTCTTGTCCACTCCTTTTATTTCATCTTTTAAATGCAGAAAGACTGTAAGAGCCAGAGATGGTGGATGGCCACAAGGAAATAGAATTTTCTAGATAACCAGTCACTCATATGAACTCACAGTAATGGTGACAGCACGCAATAAATCCCATTGAAGCTCAGATCAGACAAAATCTCAGCATAGATGTGGGGAAGTGGGTAAGAAAGCCCAATCCAACCTAAGGACTTTTGGCAACCGATGGCTGCCGGGAGGGGGAGAGTCAGTCTCTTTGAAGTCTCTTGGTGGGTTGACCAGGATTCAGAGAATAGACCCACACTGAAGGACATTTGGGGACACACATTAGACTCTATAGGCTTCAATATATATTAAAGCACTAAATTGGGTAAAGGGCACTAACTAAGGGAAGGTTGTAGATAGGGGAGGGGATCTAAATACCATCAAATTATATTGTGTGAAAAACCTCAAAAATTCAATAAAACAGTTTTTTAGTGCTTTCTGTGACTAGCATTGCATCAGTGCTCTTAATCTACATGTTTCCATTGCAAATGTAAACTCTGGAGCCAGGGTGGGTAATTCACTAGGCATCTGTGTGCTGCCTTGAGAACATAGTTGCCAACTGTCAGAACAAATTCCAATCTAATAACTTAAATATTGACTTTGCAAACTGAATTCATTTATATAGAAGTGCTGGAGTGGGCATGGATTTGATCAAAACACTTTATATGCATGTATGAAATTCTCAATAAATTATTTATTTAAAGCTGGGCGTGGTGGTGCATGTCTTTAATCCCAGCACTTGGGAGGCAGAGGCAGGTGGATCTTTGT